GGTACTTGTTATATTCGAATACAATGTGTACATTTTCTATTCGAGGAGCTTTGCTATTCGCGAAAAGTGCACCTGGTACTTATTATATCCGAATACAATGTGTACGTTTTCTATTCGAGGAGCGTTGCTATTCGCGAAAAGTGCACCTGCACCGCTTCAATTTTGAAAATGGCTTAAGGACCTCGGCCTCCTACGGGCAGCTACCGGTCCTATGTGTTCCTGGCCCTTGCAAGGCCCCAAAACCTCAAATGCCCACCCTCCCGACGACCAGCGACGTTGAAATTGACGTTGAACGTTGAAATGTCTCAGGGGGAGAAAACGCAACCCTGACGGGCTGCGAACACACCTACAGCGCCGTTTTCAAGTGCAGCTCAAGTGCGCCCAGAGAGGTGACTTGGGGCCTCATTCCACACCACTCGAAACTGAAGGGTTTCTTGCCCAACACCGTTCCACAGTGCGGTTGAGTTTGCCCGACCATGATTAAGCTTTCGGGTTTAGAGAATGGGCGGGAAAAGCTCAAGTGTGGCTCAAGTGCGGCCCAGGCAAACCTACCCATTTTTCAAGTCACCTCTCGGGGCACACTTGAGCTGCATTTGAAAATGGCACTGCAGTACGTGTGGAACCCGCCTATAGTTTTTTTCCCCCTTTTATTCTCCTTTTTCTAAGGTGATTGTCCGGGTTGAACCTCTCACGAGCTGTTCCCGCTCAACGAGGCCCTTGAAAAAGGGGTAGTTTTGCCTGGGCTGGACTTGAGCTGCCCTTTAGCTTTTCCTGCCCATTTGCTAAACCCGGAAACCTAATCATGGCAAACCTAATCACGGCCGAGAGGCCCTTGAAAAAGGGGTAGCTTTGCCTGGGCTAGACTTGAGCCGCCCTTGAGCTGAACCCGGAAACCTAATCACGGCCGGGCCTAAACTCAAGGGCACCGTGGAACGGTGTTACTTCATTTCGGGCAATAATTGGCGCAAACTGCCAACGCAATGGTCCGTGTTTCAGCAGTTCGTGGGTCTACCCGAGGCTGGGGAAGAGAACTCTCTTTGGGGAGATAGAACTTGGCCGTTGGATCTTCGATATCTAGGGACAGTTGGTCTTGCCGTACCGCTCTTAAATGTGAAAAAGACAAAACTGTGGGGTGTGTATGTTTTCCGCGTTCTAGGGGAAGATGCATTCTAATTTTGCACATTTGGTAAGTCGTCCTTCGGGACATCCGTTAAAATTGGAACGATACAGAGAAGGGTAGATTAGCAAATGGCCCCTACGCAAGGATGACACGCATAAATCGATACCTTGTATCCCGTCAGTCAGGCGCGGGGTTCCTTTTACCCCGATTCTCCATATCTGACCGTCGATTGCCAGCATCGTAAAGACGACCAGAAACGAAGAATCGGGGCAAATGGAACCGTAAAGACGACCAGAAACGAAGAATCGGGGCAAATGGAACCGTAAAGACGACCAGAAACGAAGAATCGGGGCAAATGGAACCTTGCCTCAGAAGTTAGATCCCAGCAGGTGCAGTTGTGAGTCTTGTAGGGTGCGTTGTATTCGGTTGAAGACTGGTAGGAGACAAAGAGGAGAAGAAGAGAGACAGAGGGGCTAAAAAAAGAAAAAAGAAAAAAAAGAAAAAAAAGAAAAAAAAGAAAAAAAAGAAAAAGAAAGTGGTAAAGGCGGGAAATGAGAGGTTTAGGTGAGTTCGCGGGTGAACCAATCAATCAATCAATCAATCAATCAAGGACACAGGGAGAAGAACACGAGAGGGGACGGAAAGTGCTAAAGGCCGGAAACGAGAGGTTTAGGTGAGCTTCTCGAGGGTGGGCCAATCACCAATCAATCAAATCATCAAGATGAGCGCGATATAGGGTGGGTTGCATTAAGGGGAGGACTGGTAGGAGACAGGGAGGAGAAGAAGAGGGAGGGGAAGGAGAGTGTTAAAGGCGGGAAATGAGAGGGGTAGGTGGGCTTCTCCCGGTGGACCAATCAATCAATCAATCAATCAACCAATCAATCAATCAATCAACTCATCAATATGAGCGCGAATCAACCTCCTCCCTCTGCGCGTCTTCCCCTGAAGACAAAGCACGCTAATGATGAACGTATACAAGCTATCTTTCTGGCAGGGTACCGTCATGCGTAGGGTGCGTTGCACTCGGGGGAAGGCTGCTAGCAGCAGGATAAGCCTCAATTAGCCAACTGGCGCCTGCTTCCCGCGCCTGGTCCCCTCCACCTGCTCAACCTGCGCCTGCTTCCCCCCCCCCCCCCCCCCCCCCCCCCCCCC